GGACTACAGGTGTGCCCCACCATGTCTGGCTAATTTTGTATTTTTAATTTTTTTTTAGAGACAGGGTCTTGCTATGTTGGCCAGGCTGGTCTCAAACCTTGGCCTCAAGAAGTTTTTTCACCTCGGCCTTGCAAAACACTGGGATTATAGGCATGAACAACCATGCCTGGCTCTGTGTTCAAATTTCTAATTGTCTTATAAATGTTATTTTAGGCTGGGTACAGTGGCTCACGCCTGTAATTCCAACACTTTGGGAGGCTGAGGTGGGCAAATCACTTGAGATCAGGAGTTTCAGACCAGCCTGACCAACATGGTAAAACCCCATCTCTACTAAAAATACAAAAATTAGCTAGGTATGGTGGTGTGGGCCTGTAATTCCAGCTACTTGGGAAGCCAAGGCAGGAGAATCACTTGAACCTGGGAGGCAGAAGTTACAGTGAGCCACCATCGCACCACTGCATTCCGGTTTGGGTGACAGAGTGAGACTCCATCTCAAAAATAAAATGTTATTTTTATGGTTTGTTTGAATCAGGATTCAAGCAAGATACACACATTATATGACTGATATGTCTTTTAAATCTTCTACTCTATAAATTTCACCTTCACCCCTTTTTTTTCCTTTTTTCTTCTTTATTTTTTTTTTTTAAAGATGGGGTCTTGCTATGTTGCTTAGTCTGGTCTTGAACTCCTGGTCTCAATCAATCCTCCTGCCTTGGCCTCCCAAAATGCTGGGTATTGAAGGCATGAGCCACTGTGCATGGCCCTCTTTCTTATTTTTTTGCCTTTTAATTTATATTTTGTAAAAGACAGGTCATTTATCCTGTAGCGGTTCCCAGAGTCTCAATTTTACTATCTATACTTGTGGTGTTAAGTTTGCCCCTTTCATTTCAATTACTTTGGTGTTGGATAAATTCCACAATAACTGCAGCAGTTACTCAGTCTGTAACACTAATCAAGCACTGAATCCAACACCAAATTAATTTCCAGTGTGTTACTTTCTAATTGTTACATACATTGTCACTCTCTGATTGTGGTGCTTCAGAATTGGTTGCTGTCCTCACTGCAGCTTTGAAAAGTTAAGTGGCCTGTGAAATCAATGTTAAAGAATAGTAACTGGCTCTTTTTCTTTTCTTTTTTTTTTTTTGACAGAGTCTCATTCTGTTGCCAGGCTGGAGTGGAATGCATGATCTTGGTTCACTGCACCCTCCACCTCCGGGGTTCGAGCAATTCTTGTGTCTCAGCTTCCTGAGTAGCTGGGATTACAGGAGCCGGTCACACACCCAGCTAATTTTTCTGTTTTTAATCGAGACAGGATTTCACCATGTTGGCCAGGATGGTCTCAATCTCCTGACATTGTGATCCATCCATCTCGGCCTTCCAAAATGCTGGGATTACAGGTGTGAGCCACCGCACCTGGCCATAACTAGTTTTTTATAATAATAGAATACAATAGAAAATATCAGTGTACCCTATGTAATAAGAATAATTATTATTCTGTGAACCTTTTTTCCACCATGGATATGTGTATTGGGAACTGGATTACTATGTAGACTATGGTTTTTAGGGGTTATGGTCAAATATTTGAAGAACACTGTAATATGTAGAATTTTTTTTAAAAACAACATTTTTTGAAGAATTATAAAAAAAAAACAAATATTAGAAATAGGACTATGTTAGGCATATTAGTTTCTTGTGGCTACCATAACAAATTGCCATATACTGCTGATGTAAAACAATGCATTTATTCTGTCAGTTCTGGTGGCCAGAATTCTGAAATCAAGGAGCTGGGACCACATACCCTACAAAGGCTCTGAGGGAGAGTCCATTCCTTGCCCTTTGCGGCTTGCAGTGGCTGCTGGCATTTCTTGCCATTCTCCTTGGCCTGTTCCTTGGCGTGACTCCAATCTCTGCTTTCATTCTCATGTGACTCACTCCTGTGGCTTTTCCTTTTCTACGTGTCGCAGATCTCTTTCTGTCTTTCCCTCTTTTTTTTTTTTTTTGAGACCGAGTCTCACTCTGTCACCCAGGCTGGAGTGTAGTGGCATGATCTCGGCTCCCTGAAAACTCCACCTCACAGGTACAAGCAATTCTCCTGCCTCAGCCTCCTGAGTAGCTGGGACTACAGGCACGTGCCACCACACCTGGCTAATTTTTGTATTTTTAGTAGAGACAGGGTTTCACCATGTTGACCAGGCTTGTCTCTAACTCCTGACGTCAAGTGACCTGCCCTCCTCAGCTTCCCAAAGTGCTGGGATTACAGGCGTGAGCCAGCACACCTGGCCTCTGCCTTTATCTTAAAATAGACACTTGTCTTTAGATTTAGGGCCCACCTAGATAACTCAGGGAGATCTTATCTCAGGACCCTTATTTCTATCTGCAAAAACCCTTTTGCTAAATAATGTTCACAGAGTCTGGGAATTAGGACGTAAACTTCTCTTTTGGGGGTACCACCTTTCAACCCACTACACTAAGTGAAAAATGAAATATTGATCTCTGCATCCTCCAGCACTCTGCCCAGCCTAGCATCCCAAATAGGGAAGCATTAAGATGTGAAAAATTCTGCCGAACGTTAGTGTAAAGCTAGAAGTGGAGAAATGATGACCAAGCATAACATTATGAATAACAGCATGAGTGGGTTCAGTGTCCTCCCTGGTATACTGCAGTGCAAGTACTGCCCTGTCTTCTCTGCTTGGGGAAAGTCTACTTTTCCCTAGCATTAGAGGAAAATTCTTTGGTATTCTTAAATTGTCCTTACTTACTCCTGCAGGTTCATGAATACTTCCGGGCAGAATGTAGGGATATGCCATTCATTTGTTTGTGTTTTTTAGGTCAACTTTATAATATAAGAGAGGGAGAATAAGTTAGCTTTTCATGCTGCTTGCTTGAAAGTCAGAACACAAATCTGTTATCAGTACAGTCACCTGTCCAGGACAGACAGTTTTCCTGCCAGCTGGCCTCCATGGGAAGTTCTCTAGGAAGCCAGCATATGAGCATGGGGAATCCCTGCCTATTGTTGAGGCTATCCTTGTGGGTAAAAAGGGAATGTCCCTTGTGGTCCTGGGAATCTCCCTGTGGCAAGCATTGAATAGGGTATGATGAATAGTCCAGGATGGATCCTGGCTCAGGGCTAGAATGGGATAGAAGGCCATTGCCAAACGAGAAATTAGAAAACCGGTGTCAGGATGGGGATCATTATTTTACACACTTGAGAATTTGGAAAGGAATTACTGAGCAATCCTAAACTCATTTTTTTTTTTTTTTTTTTTTATGGAGTCTCACTCTTGTCACCCAGGCTGGAGGGCAGTGACGTGATCTTGGATCACTGGAATGTCCACCTCCTGGGTTCAAGCGATTCTCTCGCCTCAGCCTCCCAAGTAGCTGGGATTACAGGCACCCATGCCTGGCTAATTTTTGTTTGCTTTGTTTTTGAGACAGAGTTTCCCTCTTGTTGCCCAGGCTAGAGTGCAATGGCACAATCTCAGCTCACCACAAACTCTGCCTCCCAGGTTCAAGTGATTCTCTTTCCTCAGCCTCCTGAGTAGCTGGGATTATGGCATGTGCCACCCGCCCAGCTAATTTTGTATTTTTAGTAGAGGTGGGGTTTCACCATGTTAGGCTGGTCTCAAACTCCTGACCTCAGGTGATCCACCCACCTCAGCCTCCCAAAGTGCTGGGATTACAGGCGTAAGCTACCGTGCCCTGCCCTAATTTTTGTTTTGTTTTTTTTTTTTTTTATCAATAGAGACGGGGTTTCACCATGTTAGCCAGGGTGGTCTCAAACTCCTGACCTCATGTGATCTGCCTATCTCGGCCTCCCAAAGTGCTGCGATTACGGGCATGAGCCACCACGCCCAGCAAACTGATCTTTACTAATTATAGATGAAAGGACTGTTGTCAGACATGTGATAAGAATAGCTAGAGCCAGACATGATGGCTCATGCCTGTAATTACAGCACTTTGGGAGGCTGAGGTGGGAGGATCACTTAAGACCAGGAGTTCGAGATCAGCTTAGTCAACCCCATCTCTAAAAAATAAAAAGAAATAAAAAGAATAGCTAGGGACTAATGAATGTGAGTAGTTTATAAAAATAAATGGAAATATTGTTAGTCTTTATATTCCTAGAAATCAATGTTCCACATGCATCCCACAACTCTCCACAGCTCCCTGATACAAAGATACTCACTGTAAGAAGAAAATCCCATAAAACCAAACTAAACCAGACAATATAAATCTTAATGATCTCATTACATAAAGAAAAGGCCCTATAAGCTTTTTGTGGAATCCTCTAATAATATATTTCTGTCTTCATCTAAAGTACTTTCATTTGAGGCTGGGCTCAGTGGCTCACACTTGTAATCTCACCACTTTGGGAGGCTGAGGCAGGAGAATCTTTTTTAGTTTTTGAGATGGAATCTTGCTCTGTTGCCAGGCTGTAGTGCAGTGGCAAGATCTCGGCTCACTGCAATCTCCACCTCCTGGGTTCAAGAGATTCTCCTGCCTCAACCTTCTGAGTAGCTGGAACTACAGGCACACGCCACCATGCCCAACTAATTTTTGTACTTTTAGTAGAGACGGGGTTTCACCATGTTGGCCAGGATTGTCTTGATCTCTTGACCTCGTGATCCACCCGCCTCAGCCTCCCAAAGTGCTGGGATTACAGGTGTGCACCCCGCACCCAGCCGAGACAGGAGAATCTTAAGGCCAAGAGTTTGAGAACAGCCTGGGAAACATAGCGAGACCCTGTCTCTACAAAAAGTAAAAAATTAGCCAGGCATAGTGGTGCATGCCTGTGGCCTGGCTGCCCAGGAGGATCACTCAAACCCAAAAGTTTGAGGCTGCAGTGCGTTATGATTGCTCCACTACACTCCAGCCTGGGTGACAGTGAGACCCTGTCTCATCAATTAAAAAATGAATGAATGAATGTACTTTCATTTGAACAACCAGCGTTACTGCTGAAACATTTATTTTTGTAATGACCCTTGACTTCCTTTCTTGTACAGGAGCCAATAGATCCTCTAAAGGAAGAAGTCTTATTGGTAAGGTTGATGGTACATCCCATGTCACTGGAAAAGGAGTTACAGTTGAACCAGGCTTTTCTGTGGATGAGTTTTCTGCATCTGTCCTCACTGGAAAACTGACCACTGTATTCCTTCCAATTGTCTACACCATTGTCTTTGTGGTGGGTTTGCCAAGTAATGGCATGGCCCTGTGGGTCTTTCTCTTCCGAACTAAGAAGAAGCACCCTGCTGTGATTTACATGGCCAATCTGGCCTTGGCTGACCTCCTCTCCGTCATCTGGTTCCCCTTGAAGATTGACTATCACATACATGGCAACAACTGGATTTATGGGGGAGCTCTTTGTAATGTGCTCATTGGTTTTTTCTATGGGAACATGTACTGCTCCATTCTCTTCATGACCTGCCTCAGTGTGCAGAGGTATTGGGTCATCGTGAACCCCATGGGGCACTCCAAGAAGAAGGCAAACATTGCCATTGGCATCTCCCTGGCAATATGGCTGCTGATTCTGCTGGTCACCATCCCCTTGTATGTTGTGAAGCAGACCATCTTCATTCCAGCCCTAAACATCACGACCTGTCATGATGTTTTGCCTGAGCAGCTCTTGGTAGGAGACATGTTCAATTACTTCCTCTCTCTGGCCATTGGGGTCTTTCTGTTCCCAGCCTTCCTCACAGCCTCTGCCTACGTACTGATGATCAGAATGCTGCGATCTTCTGCCATGGATGAAAACTCAGAGAAGAAAAGGAAGAGGGCCATCAAACTCATTATCACTGTCCTGGCCATGTACCTGATCTGCTTCACTCCTAGTAACCTTCTGCTCGTGGTGCATTATTTTCTGATTAAAAGCCGGGGCCAGAGTCATGTCTATGCCCTGTACATTGTAGCCCTCTGCCTCTCCACCCTCAACAGCTGCATTGACCCCTTTGTCTATTATTTTGTTTCACAAGATTTCAGGGATCACACAAAGAACGCTCTCCTTTGCCGAAGCGTCCGCACTGTAAAGCAGATGCAAGTATCCCTCACCTCAAAGAAATACTCCAGGAAATCCAGCTCTTACTCTTCAAGTTCAACCAGTGTTAAGACCTCCTATTGAGTTTTCCAAGTCTTCTGATGGGAGTTGCACAGTAGGATGTGGAGCCTATTTAATGTTATGGGGACATGTCTGTAATTTCCTAAGCAAACGGGTCTCACCACATACCATTTGGATGCAGCACCTCTTAGGATTGCTAGAAGCTCCTCTGTTTACATGAGAAAAATAGTCCCCCAAATTAACACTGGTGTCTGTTTCAAAATTTCTCTACTCAGATGTCCCTAGAAACTGAACCAACAGAAGCAGACTTTTCAGAAGATGGTGAAGACAAAAACTCAGTAACTTGCACAAAGTAGACATGGTGTGAAGACTCACTTCTCAGCTGAAATTATATACACACACGTATATATATATATATATATTACATCTGGGGTTGTGATAGACTTGTTAAGGCTTCAGTAACTTCAGAGATGATCAGTCCAATTGAACGACCTTACAAATGAGGAAACTAAGATAAAGGAGCTGCCAGAATCAGGTTTCCATTCATCAGAATCATTATGGATCTTGGTTAGGCACAGTGCCTTGTGCCTGTAATCCCAGCACTTTGGGAGGCCAACACAGGCAGATCACTTGAGTTCAGGAGTTTAAGACCAGCCTGGCCAACATGGTGAAACCTCTTCTCTACCAAAAATAAAAAGTTAGCTGGGTGTGGTGGTGCATATCTGTAATCCCAGCTACTCAGAAGGCTGAGGCACGAGAATCAAGTATCACTTTAACTCAGGAGGCAGAGGTTGCAGTGAACCGAGATTGCCCCACTGCAGCCTTAGTGACAGAGTGAGACTCTGTTTCGGGAAGAAAAAAAAAGTCATTGTGAATTTTGTTCAAAATGGGGATTCCTCAGATTCAGTAATGAGAGCTCAGACTCTGGGAACAGGGTCGGGGAATCTGTGTGGTACAAGCCTGCGTGATGTTTATGCGCACAAAGATTTGAGAACCATTGATCTGAATGCTGCTTTCATTTGACAAAGTGCTGTGATAATTTTTGAAAAGGGAAGCAAACAATGGTGCCTCTTTTATGTTCAGCTTATAACAAAATCTGTTTGTTGACTTATTAGGACTTTGAATTCCTTCTTTATTAACCCTTTGAGTTTTTGTATGTATTATTTTTACTTCAAGAAAAATATGGCTGGGTGCAGTGGCTCACGCCTGTAATCCCAGCACTTTGGGAGGCTGAGGTGGGAGATCATGAGGTCAGGAGTTCAAGACCAGCCTGACCAACATGGCGAAACCTGTCTCTACTAAAAATACAAAAATTAGCCAGGCGTAGTGGCACATGTCTGTGATCCCAGCTACTCAGGAGGCTGAGGCAGGAGAAATGCTTGAACCTGGGGAGGTGGAGGTTGCAGTGAGCCGAGATTGCACCACTGCACTCCAGCCTGGGCGACAGAGCGAGACTCTGTCTCAAAAAAAAAAGCCAGACATGGTGGCATTTGCCTGTAGTCCCAGCCACTTGGGAGGCTGAGGTGGGAGTATCACTTGAGCCCAGGAGTTCTGGGCTATAGTGCACTATGCTGATCGGGTGTCCACACTAAGTTCAGCATCAATATGGTGACCTCCTGGGAGCAGGGGACCACCAGGTTGCCTAAGGAGGGGTGAACTGGCCCAGGTCGGAAACAGAGCAGGTCAAAACTCCCGTGCTGATCAGTAGTGGGATCACACCTGTGAATAGCCACTGCACTCCAGCCTGGGCAACATAGCAAGACCCCATCTTTAAAAAAAAATACAATCAGAATTTTAAATGGGTATTTTTGTATAACTTTTTACTGACTTTAGTGATATTTTCATGTAGTCTAAGTAGTAGATTGTTTTGCCACTAAGAATAGCATTTACTACTTAGTATTTAAAAAAAAATTATTGTTGGAGTATTTATTGTCAGTTTTGTTCACTTGTTAACAAATACAAAATTATAAAGCCTTCAGAGGGTTTAGACCACACCTCTTTGGAAAACAGCACTAAAATAGATGAATTTGCAACATATTTAAGAGGCACCTGATGCCAAACTGACTTCATACAACGATTGTATTTGTGACTTTTAAAAATAATTATTTTCTTGTATAATTGATTTATAAATAATACATTTTTTTAAACAACATTTCTGAGTTGTGTGTTTGTTTTGAGGGAAGGAGTGAGAGAAGGGAAGCAATAGCTTCATGCCTCTAAAGGAAATGATGGGACCCTCACGCCAAACTCTGTGACAACTGTTTTTCATTTTTAAGTGTTTTAGAGTTTTTTCCACACCTGCATTATTTTAAAAGGATACAGGCTATTTAACATTTCAGGTATATTGCGATGTATTTAATTGTTTCCTTACCAAGGGCTTCTTAAGTTGTCACACCCCTACCCTCCTCTTTTTTTATATTAAAACAGTGCTGCATCAAATATCTGCATACACAGACATCTTTGAGCATATTTTTTGAAGATAAGTTTCTAGAAGTAGAATGGCCAGGTCAAAAGTTAGATGCCCGTTCTAAGTTTTGCTAAGTGTTGCCAAATTGTTTTCACTAATGTATACTTCTACCAAAATAGTATATTTGCACCTGTTTCCTGAAATGCTCATACACATTCCATGCTACCAATCTTTTGAAAGTTTCCCAATCTGATTGGAGGAAAAAAAAATCTCATTTTATTCAAGAAGCAGCACAGTGGCCTAATTTCTCTAAACTAAGTCCTAAAATGTCTGAAAATGTAAATACTTTGAGCAGTGAGGCCTCTTAATTTAAAAGTAACTTTCAGTTACTTACTAACAGTGAGGCCTCTTACTCTGAAAGTAAACTAAGATTTGCTGTCCTGCTGCTCAGGACAAAGGCAAGTATAAACTGATTTGGCTGGAGTTGTTTTATGGGCTTTTCCTAGGGTGTCACCTCAGTGGTTTGCAGCAGGAGTTTCAAACTTGTATTAATTTCCTGGTTATCAACATTTCATAAACCTTAGGGCTATAATCTCATCAGTATGCATAGTTTAGCGATTACAACTTTGTTCCTGGAGCATTAACCCTTTGGAGGCCCCTGAGAGGACTAGAATTTATTTCAGAATCAAAGGTAATCCTTGCTGTCCTCCAAATCTTGATTAAAATTATGGATTTTTGCTTTAGTGATCAGATGTCTTCTCAAAGAGAAGTTTCTGATATGTCCAGTCCTTTCCCAACCCCCAGTTCTGAAGACAAAAACCAAACCCTTAGTGATCAGGGATCTAGTCTCTGCATTTAATTCAAGCCTTGGAACTTCACTGAGAGGGTTGTCCTACTTAAATGTAAGTAATTAGAGTGACTCAGGCTAGTCTTGGAATGCTTTATAGAGAGAGAGTTTGAAAAATTCTGTGATTTGAGTACAAGCTGCTCTTGCCTCTACCAGTGGGTCAATCTGTGGACTATTTCCCAGTCTCTGTCTTTATTGGTGAGAAATTAAGCCCGACCAGAGGGAGAGACCACCTCCTGCAGAAACCTCAACCCAAGCCTTCGAGCCCATCAGGAACCCAGCAGCAGTGAGTGGTTCATTTCTTCATCCTGTGAAAGGAAAATAAATCTTGGGGCCCCAAAATCACTAAGTGAAGGGGAAAATCAAGCTGAGAACTGCTTGGCACAAACCTGCCTCTCTTTCTATTCAAAGCTACCCCTTTGCTCACTGAGATAAATGCACGTCTGATGAGAGGCTAATCAGAAACTCAAAAGAATGCAACCATTTGTCTACCTATGACCCGGAAGCCCCCGAGGCCCACTTAAAGTTGTCCCGCCTTTCCAGACCGAAACAATATTCATCTTACATATGTTGATTGATGTCTCATGACTCCCTAAAATGCATAAAACCAAGCTACTATGAACACTGTGAACCCTAAAAATTTGAAGCAGTTCTCAGTTAATTTAGAAAGCTTATTTTGCCAAGGTTGAGGACATGCCTGTGACACAGCCTCAGGAAGTCCTGACATCGTGTGCTCAAGGTGGTCAGGGCATGGCTTGATTTTATACATTTTAGAAAGATATGAAACATCAACATATGTAAAATATACATTGGTTTGGTCTGGAAAGGCGGGTCAACTTACGGAAAGGCGGGTCAACTTACGCAAAGGCCAGAAAAGTGAGCAGGAGACTTCCAGATCACAGATAGGTGAGAGACAAATGGTAGCAATCATTTGAGTTTCTGATTAGACTTTCCAAAGAAGAAAATTAGATACGCATTTACCTCAGTGAACAGATGGGTCACTTTGAATTGAACGGGAGTCGGGTTTGCTCTATGCAGTTTCCAGCTTCAGTTTTCCTTTTAGCTTAGTGATTTTGGGGGCCCAAGATATTTTCCTTTCACACCATCTTGGGCACATGTCATCAGGACCTCCAGAGGCTGTGTCACAGGCAAACATCCTCAACCTCAGCAAAATAAACTTTCTAAATTAACTGAGACCTGTCTCAAATATTCGGGGTTCACAATCCCACAAACATTCATTGCAACATTATTGCATTATTAAATGCAAATGATTAAATTAGGATTTATACCTTAGCAGCTGTCTAGTTCAGGGGTTGATGTTCTCAGTAGAATACATCAATATGTAGGAAAAAAACCCACAAACCCCCAAAACCTAACCCTCCTGTTTATGGGCTTCTCAAAAGCCTTTAAAGCATAGCCTATTCCAGAGCTAGATCTTGAGAGTGGCAGAAAGTCAAGGTAAACGCGAAAGACAAGAAGGTTCTGGAAGGGCCGCTACTATGGCTTACCCCTCTAACCACTGCTTTGCTTACACCATTGCTTCAACCCAGCAGTTCAAGGTGCAGTGAGCCATGATCACACCTGCGAGTAGTCACTACACTCCATCCTGAGCATCTCTAAAAAATAAAAAATAAAAAGCAGAAGAACTGAATAGAATAGATAGCAAATAAGCATATTGAAGCATATTGAAAAGATGCTTGGCATTAGTCATTAGAAAAATGCAAATTTTAAAACCCATGAGTGGCTAAAATAAATAAATCTGAAAGTATAAGTACATAATGAGAAGGAATACCCTCCCTACCCCCAACATGGGAACCTATTTATACAACCTCTGTATATTCTTTGAGGTATTTTATGCATGTATAAACATGTATACATGCTTGGTTTTTTTGGTTTTTTTTTTTTTGAGACTGAGTCTCTCACTATTGCCTGGGCTGGAGTGCAATGAATGGCATGATCTCGGCTCACTGCAACCTCTACTTCCCAGGTTCAAGCGATTCTCCTGCCTCAGCCTCCCAAGTAGCTGGGATTACAGGTGCACGCCACTATGCCTGGCAATTTTTTTTTATATTTTTAGTAGAGACAGGGTTTTACTGTGTTGGCCCAGCTGGTCTCGAACTCCTGACCTTGTGATCTGCCTGCCTCAGCCTCCCAAAGTGCTGGGATTACGGGTGAGCCACCATGCCTGGCCAGTGATTTATAATTCTTTTTTTTGTTGTTTTTTGAGATGGAGTTTTGTTCTTATTGCCCAGGCTGGAGTGCAATGGCACCATCTCAGCTTACCACAACCTCTGCCTCCCGGGTTCAAGCAATTTTCCTGCCTCAACCTCCCGAGTAGCTGGGATTACCAGCATGTGCCACCACGCCCGGATAATTTTTTGTTTTTTGTTTTTTTTTTGAGACGAAGTTTTGCTCTTGTTACCCAGGCTGGAGTGCAATGGCGCCATCTCGGCTCACCGCAACCTCCGCCTCCTGGATTCAGGCAATTCTCCTGTCTCAGCCTCCTGAGTAGCTGGGATTACAGGCACATGCCACCATGCCCAGCTAATTTTTTGGGTTTTTTTTAGTAGAGATGGGGTTTCACCATGTTGACCAGGATGGTCTTGATCTCTTGACCTCGTGATCCACCTGCCTGGGCCTCCCAAAGTGCTGGGATTACAAGCGTAAGCAACCGCGCCCGGCCCATTTTTTGTATTTTTAGTAGAGACAGGGTTTCTCCATGTTGGTCAGGCTGGTCTCAAACTCCCAACCTCAGTTGATCCTCCCACCTCGGCCTCCCAAAGTGTTGGGATTATAGGTGTGAGGCACCGCACCCAGCCTATACATGCTTTTTAAAAATAAAAACTATACCATATATTAGTTAAACTATACATAAATTACCTAACATTTAGTGGCTTAAAAGAGTTGTAAACATTTACTAACCTGCACAGTTTCTGTGGGTTATGAATCCAGGAGCAGTTTAGCCCAGTGGTTCTGGCTGAGGATCTCATGAAGTGGCAGGTAAGATACTGGCTGGAGCTGCTGCTTACTGAAGATGTGAAGGGCTGGAGGATCCTCTACACGGCTGGCACATTGGTGGCAGGAAGCTTCAGTTCCCCTCCATGTGGGCCTCTTCACACGGAGACTGGTGTTCCCCAAAATGAGTGATCCACGAGAACAAGGGGAAAGCTTCAATGCCTTTCATTACTTAGCTTCAGAAGTCACACACGGTCACTTCCACCATCCTAGCTCCAATTGCTTGGTCAGATAAGCTGGCTCCAATTCAATTTGGGAGAAGACAGAGAGCATAAATACCAGGAGGCGAGGATCACTGGAGACTACGCGGGGGGCTGGCTACCGCATTACATACAGAAACACGTCTTGCATGTAATTGCCATGTTAGCATTTACAGACCAACCCCATTATTTTAAACTGCAGTCTCCATGTTCACATATGTCATAATGTATGGAATCCAGCTTATGCTATACTTGGATTGCTATAGAAATAATCTTTGAGTAAATATCTTGTACGTACTTGTTAATTCAATATTCTTCCCCTATGCACTATGTGCCAAGTCATCTTCTAGGCAGTAAGGAATATTGTGGAGAACAAAATAGACAAGAACACTGTTTCATGGAGTTTACTTTCTGATTGGAGAAAGACTGAAAACAAAACAAAACAAAACATCCAATAGTAGTAAATGCTAAATGTAAATGCTCAGAGTATTTTATATTGGGAGACCAGAGAAGGTTTCTAAGGAGGTGAAATTTAAGTTGCAATGTTAAGGGCAGGAAAGCCAGCCATGGGAGGATCCCAAGCAAGGGCTTTATGGGAATGAGTAAGGGAAGGAAGAATATGAGCAAGTAGGCTGGAGAGAGAGGCAAGAGGTGGATAACTGAAGGGATCTGTAAGGGAGTAAGGAGCTTGATTGGCTTTCTAGGTCGGATGCCATAGGGTTGTTTCACTGGCCATTTAAAAAAATCACTGGCTACTATGTGGAATAGGGATTATAGAAGGACAAGAAGAGAAAGCAAGAAAAATTTGGAGTAATCCAAGCTAGAGGTGATGATGGCTTGAATTAGGGTGGTGGTAACAGATGGAGAGAAGGAGCCTAAAGTTAAGAGATGTGAAAAAAAGGGGAATCAAAGCTCATGCCTAGAGTTTCTGCTTGATGGATAATGGTGAAATAATTAGGAGTGAGCACGTTTGGAGGCTGAAAGTCAAGAGTTCTGTTTTGACCATGGCATGTTGAGATTGCGATGCCTGTTAGACATCCAAGTAGAACTGCTGAGTAGGAGGCGGATGCAGTGGCTCACGCCTGTGATCCTTGCATTTTGGGAGGCGGAGGTGGGAGGATCACATGAGCTCAAAAGTTTGAGATCTGCCTGGGCTTCATGGCAAAACTGTGTCTCTACAGAAAATTAAAAAACTAGCCCAGTGTGGTGGCATGCTTCTGTGATCCCAGTGTTACTCAGAAGGCTGAGTTGGGAGGATTGCTTCAACCCAGGAGGCAGAAGTTGCAGTGAGCTGAGACTGTGCCACTCTACTCCAGCCCCGGCAACAAGCAAGATCTTGCCTCAGGAAAAAAAAAAAAGAACTTGGTGAAGTTACCATATTACTGGAAAGAGGTCCAGATCCAGGCCCCAAAAGAGGGTTCTTGGATTTCACCCACTCAAGAAAGAATTCAGGGTGAGTCCATAAAATGAAAGCAAGTTGATCAGGAAAATGAAGGAGTAAAAGAATGGCTACTCCACAGACAGAGCAGCTCTAAGAGCTGCTGGTTGCCCATTTTTATGGTTATTTCTTGATGATATGTTAAACGAGGGGTGGATTATTCATGCCTACCCTTTTTAGACCATATAGAGTAACTTCCTGACATTGGCACGGCATTTGTAACCTGTGATGGTGCTGCTGGGAGTGTAGCAGTGAGGATGACCAGATGTCACTCTGGTGGCCATCTGCTTTTGGTGGGTTTTGGCCGGCTTCTTTACAGAAAGCTGTTTTATCAGCAAGGTCTTTATGACCTGTATCTTTTTTTTTCTGAGATGGAGTTTCACTCTTGTTGCCCAGGCTGGAGTGCAGTAGCAAGATTTCAGCCCACTGCAACCTCCGCCTCCCAGGTTCAAGCCATTCTCCTGCCTCAGCCTCCCAAGTAGCTGGGCTTACAGGCATGCATTACCACACGTAGCAAAGTTTTTACATTTTTAGTAGAGACAGGGTTTCACCATGTTGATGAGGCTGGTCTTGAACTCCTGACCTCAGGTGATCCATCTGCCTCGGACTCCCAAAGTCCTGAGATTACAGGTGTGAGCCACTGCACCCGGCCAAGACCTGTATCTTGTGCTGACCTTCTGTCTCATCTTGTGACTGTCTGGGAATGGAGCCAGTAAGTCAGCCTTATTTTACCCAACTCCTATTCAAGGGTTGCTCTGGTTCAAATGTCTCTGACACCTAGGGAAGAGCATATAGATGAAGAAAAGGGGGCCCTGGACAGAGGCCTTTGGCACATAGAATCTTTTGAGCAGAGGAAGGGCCAGTAAGAGACACTAAGAAGGACCGGCCACTATGGCAAGAAGAAAGTCCAGCAATAATGCTCTCAGGAAAGTGCAGGGCAAAAAGGACAGAGTGATCCATCGTGGTGAAAATCACTTAGAAGCCAAGTGAGATATGAACAGAGGAATGACTACTGAAGCTTGCCTTTGGAGAATGTTGGTGACCTTGACAAGACCATCCGCTCTGTGACGTGATGGGGAAAGGAAGCCAAATGGAGTGTGTTCAAGAAAGCATGAGAAGGAGGGAAGTCAGCGGCAACCCCTTACAGCAAGTCTAACTGTGAAAGGGAGCAAGGGAATGCGGAGGCAAGTAAGGCAAGGAGAGTCATTCATTCAGCAGAGAGGGAGATGTCTTTGCATGTATTGTATTTCTAGAAGTGAAGGTGGAAGAATTTCTTGAGCCCAGGAGTTCGAAACCAGTCTGGGCAACATGGCAAGACCCCATCACTACAATAATCACAACAAAATTAGCCAGGGGAGACGGTGTAAATGTATAGTCTCAGCTACTTGGGAGGGTGAGGCCAGACTATTGCTTTAGCCCAGGAGTTCAAGGCTGTAGTAAGCTATGATTACACCACTGCACTCCAGCCTGGGCAACAGAGCAAGACTGTCCAAAAAAAAAAAAAGAAGTAGAATTTCTGGGTCAAAGGATATGTGTAATTTTGACTGTGGTAAGTTGCTCTTCTGAGGTGTTGTACCAATTACACACTTGCCAAAAATGTGTGTCTGTTTATCTACCGTGTTGTAAATACTAAATTTTCAGTCTTTTATTTGCCAGTCTGAACCTTACAAATTTTGAGTGTAATAATAATGTAGGACCATAAGCATCAGGGAAGAAATAGAGCTCTGCTTTCTTCCTTTATTTACTTTATATTTTAGGCATATTTCCCCATGCCACTTCTTACCACCAAAGCAGTGACCCTCCTTGCAAGAAGTTGGTTCCATTTATCTTTGTATTAGCTCTGAGAGGAAACCTAAGCTATTCTTCTGGGTGGGCTGCAGAAAATGTCTGTACCATGTGGACCATCCTTTGCTCTGATGAGTTTTCTATCATTCTTTAGTGGAGAACATGAGGGCATGGCAGCAGCCACTACAGCAGGAGCCTGGAGTCCCAGCCCTGGGCCCTAGCCAGCTCACCTGCAGGTGAGGGATTAACTCTCAACACTGCTGGGTCTGGCTCAGGTCCGAATTCCTCACCGCAGTTTCACCATGTAGTCTGGGGTGAATGACAAGCCCATGGAAAGCGTTTAATTATAGCTTCTATGTAGCATGGGGTAGACTAAATTACCTAATCCCGAGAAAGCAAGCCTTATGTTCTGAGCTCTTTCAGAGGCCACCTGGGCTCTTGCAGAGAACTGAGTCTAGTTATTACTGGTGAAAGACAAACTTTTTTATTTAACCAGAGATTTGTGTAAATGGGAGACCTCATTAAAAATATGAAAGATTTATCAGAATTTATGGCTTAAAAAATTGCAGCGTGGGGAGGGAAATGAGGGTGTTTATTCCAGTGACAGTTTCTGTCCATTACAACTGGAATTTTTTTTTTTTAATCTTTTTAAAACTTTTCTTTTTTTTTTGAGACAGAATCTTGCTCTGTCACCCAGGCTGGAGTACAGTGATGTGATCTCAGCTCACTGCAGCCTCTGCCTCCTGGGTTCAAGCGATTTTTCTGCCTTAGCTTCCCTAATAGCTGGGATTACAGGTATGCACCACCACACCTGGCTAATTTTTGTATTTTTAGTAGAGACAGGGTTTTATCACGTTGCCCAGGCTGGTCTCAAACTCCTGACCTCAAGTGATCCGCCCACCTCACTCTCTCGAAGTGCTGGGATTACAGGCATAGGCCACCATGCCCAACCTAAAACCTTTATTATTTATTTATATATTTATGTTTTTGGGACAGAGTCTTGCTCTGTTGCCCAGGCTGGAGTGCAGTGACATGATCTTGGCTCACTGCAACCTCTGCCTCCCAGTTTCAAGTGATTCTCCTGCCTGAGCCTCCAAAGGATCTGGAACTGCAGGTGTGCACCACCATGCCCAGCTAATTTTTGTATTTTTAGTAGAGATGGGGTTTTATGTTGGCCAGGCTGGTCTCAAACGCCTGACCTCAGATGATCTGCCCACCTTAATCTTCCAAAGTGCTAGGACTACAGGCCTGAGCCACTGCACCCAGCCGAGATTAGTTATTTTGAAAAGAGAGATGTTTCAGTCTTTGGAATGTATCTTTGGCCTAATGCAGTGGCTGGTGCCTATAATTCCAGCACTCTGGGAGGCCAAGTTGGGAGGATCACTGGAGCCCAGGTGTTCAAGACTAGCCTGGACAAGATGGTGAAATCCCATATCTACAAAAAGTACAAAAATTAGCCAGTTGTCGTGGCGTGACCTGTAGTCTCAGCTATTTCGGAGGCAGAGGTGGGAGGATCACTTGAGACTGGGAGGTTAAGGTTGCAAAGAGCTGTGTCTCTGCATTCTATCCTGGGCAACAGAGCAAGACACTGTCTAAAAAAAAAAAAAGAACTTATCTTTATCTTTGAGTTCTTTCTTTAATATATTGTTCTCTGTATTTCTCTATTGAGTGCTTCTAGACCTGTCTCTGCCCTTCTTTGTGTATTTATTTAATTGACAAGTAAAAATTGCATATATTTATGGTATACAACATGATGTTTTGATTTATGTATACACTGTGGAATGACTAAGTCAAGCTATTTGACTTCATTGCCCCATATACTTGTCATTTTTTGGGGGGGATAAAAACAACATCTACTGTCTTAGCAATTTTCAATATACAGTTGTTACTAACTGTAGACACCATATTGTACAATAGAATCTTTTTTTTTTTTCTTTTTTGAGACGGAGTCTTGCTCTGTCGCCAGGCTGGAGTGCAGTGGCACGATCTTGGCTCACTGCAACCTCTGCCTCCCAGGTTCAAGTGATTCTCCTGCCTCAGCCTCCCTAGTAGCTGGGACTACAGGCACACACCACCACACCCAGCTAATTTTTGTATTTTTAGTAGAGACAGGGTTTCACCATATTGGCCAGGATGGTCTCGACCTTTTGACCTCGTGATCCACCTGCCTCGGCCTCCCAAAGTGCTGGGATTATAGGCTTGAGCCACTGCACCCGGCCATGTACGATAGGCTCTCTTAAGCTTATTCCTCCTGGGCCGGGCACAGTGGCTCATACCTGTAATCCCAGCATTTTGGGAGGCCAGGACAGGTGGATCACTTGAGGTCAGGAGTTTGAGACCAGCCTGATCAACATGATGAAACCCTGTCTCTACTAAAAATACAAAAAGTAGCCAAGCGAGGTGGCATATGCCTTTAAACCCAGCTACTCGAGAGGCTGAGGCATGAGAATTGCTTGTACCTAGGAGGCAGAGGTTGTATCGAGCTGAGATCGCACCACTGTAACCTGCACTCCAGTGACAGAGTGAAACTCCATCTAAAACAAAAACAAAAACAAGAAAACCCCTTATTCCTCCTGTCTAACCCAAATTTTGTGTCCTCTGACTAACTTCTCCCCAGTCCCTCCATCTCTCTTCCCTCTCTTCTTCTCTAGGCTGAGAGCAGCCATTAGGACCAGGGCTGACTGTTCAGGCACGCCCAGCACTGGCCAGTGTGAGGAGGAGGAGCACAGATCGCTGTTGTGACTTCCTGGGAGTGGGCTTACACTGGCATCTGAGCAGGCTTCAGGAAATAGAAGCAAAATCCCCGGAGTGATCTAAGGAGGACAAGCCTCACCTTGAAGGTTCTTCTGAGTCTTTGGCCTGGACAGAAACATAAAACTTGAATTTCTAAAGGTGAGGTAAAGGCCAAGCAGGAAGCCAGGATGGTTACCAGGAAAGGAGCCAAAATGAACTTGAGGGTTCTTTAGGGCAAGGAACTTTCCAGAACCTTGGACTCTGAGCTATGATTAGGCTGCTTTCTCTCTCTCTCTCTCTCTCTCTCTCTCTCTCTCTCTCTCTCTCTCTCTCTCTCTCTCTCTCTCTCTTTCCCTCATCCCTCTGTGGCCAAGGTAAAGCCACATTTTAGAGTGGAGGCCCTAAGGCAAATGCCTTCCCCAAAAACCTCACCCCTGTTGCCCTCTCTAATCCAACTCCTGCTAGGCTCACACTTCAACTACTAGACTGAGAAGCAAGAATCTTCCACAAAAAGAATGTTTAACTTTAGAGCTGCCTTCTGGGGAGATGAGGTTAGGAGAATGTTCTTGTCTGAATTTCTGGGCATGGAGATTAGCAAGCCTTTTTCCTCCCAGGAGCTGCAGTGAGCAAGAGGCCCTGCTGTGAGTCATGTTGTTCTGAGGCTAGTCCAGACTCACCACACGGCGTTCATCACATGGGAAAGCAGGAACAGGTTTAATTTAGTACCTAAAGCTGGTATATATCTGAGTAAAGAAATGGGAAGGAACTGGGTCTCTAAAAAAATTGCTCCGGGCTTGGTGGCTCATGCCTGTAATCCCAACACTTTGGGAAGCCGCGGTGGGTGGATCACTTGAGGTCAGAAGTTCGAGACCAGCCTGGCCAACATGGCAAACTCTCGTCTTTACTACAAATTAAAAAATTAGCCAGGCATTGGTGGTGTGTGCCTGTAATCCCAGCTACTCGAGAGACTGAGGCAGGAGAATTGCTTGTTCCCAGGAGATCGTAGTGAGCTGAGCTTGTGCTGCACTCCAGACTGGGTGACAAAGCCAGACTCTGTCTCAGAAAGAAAAAGAAATTGCTTGTGATCCAACACTCCCGCCACCAGTGCCTCCTCATGGTGAAGAGCAATTACTCTGGCACCAGAGTCTCAGGGTTCAAGTCCATCCTTCACCAGTGTGTGACTGGAAAAGCTACCTAACCTCTCTGTCCAGGCTTCGCAGCTAATCATTCCTCACAGTATTTTTTTTTAATTTTTTGAGAAAGTGTCTTGTTCTGTCATCCAGGCTGGAGTGTAGTGGCATCATCATGGAGGATTACAGGCGCCCTCCAGCTAATTTTTGTATATTCAGTAGAAACGGGGTTTCACCATGTTGTTAAGGCTGGCTTGAATTCCTGACCTCAAGTGATTTGCCCCCTTCTTGGCTTCCCAAAGTGCTGGGGTAACAGGCATGAGCCACTGCCCCCCAGCCTCCTCATAGGATTTGTGAGGATGAGATGAAGGAATATATTTAAACTGCCTAAAAGGGTGCTTGGCCCAGAGTATGTGCTGATTAATGTTGGCTACTATTATTTTCCTTCAACCCAGCGCCTATGCAGGTCTAGAGGAAAGCATGAGGTGATATAAAGGTACCCAGAGGCTGAGTGCTCCCAGGAGCTGAGGGGCATTGGAGGCTTTCCTGGAGAACTGCGCCTGATCAGAGGAATGGGCAGCACAGCAGCAGTGCCATGTGTACAGCATGGATGGTGCAGAGGGGATGGGGTGGGTGCACTGGAGGCAGTTTCGATTTAATCGGGATGGCAGGGCCTGTCCAGAAAGTTAAGGTAGGGAGGAGCTCAGGTGTGCATCCCAGCAGGCAGGGGAGGCTGATTTTGAAGAAGAGCAAAGTAGGTGCAGGAGGTGGCGGAATCTCAAACAGTAATTGAGGCCAGAAGTGACATGGGCCTGAACTATGGCTCTAGGGTGGAGGAGGAAGGAGCAGAGACTAAGGATATACAACCTGGCAACTGATTGCACGAGGGAGGGAGGCACCAGAAATAGCATGACACTCAAGTTTCTGGCCACGCAGCTGGGTGAGTGAGGGTATTGCTGTTGACTGGAGAAGCAGAAAAAGGAATCTTCTCTGGGGTAAAGGAAGGAGGGGACATGGGGTTGGAAAATACGAAATTCAGTTTGCTGTGGCTTGGAGTCTGAGATTCTGATGGGTTATCTAAGTGGAGATGTCCTGTGGTCCATTTATTTATACTCCGCTGGGTCTTGGGTAGGATTTAAAGTGACATATGAAGATAACATAGAGTAAAATGTTATAAATTAAGTAGGAGAGAAAGCAGATAGAAAAGAACGAGCTATAAACCAGAGGGAGGAATGAGGCTAAATACAAAATATACAGCAGAAAACAGAAGTCACAACCTGGCCAGCATTCGCTGAATTGACTGCGGTGTCCCGCAGTCTTATGTTTGTCTGTTGGGTTTTGGGAGGTTTTGTTTGTTGGTCTTGAGTTGCAGTCTTAAAATTCAAGAGTTCTCAAAAACTAAAATTTCTAACTTTTTCTCTAAAAAAAATGTGAAGTTCCAGGAGCACTGAGCCTTGTCCCATCTGGCAACAATTATCTGGGTCTGAGAAGCCGTCTTGCCTTCGTGGGAGGGCACGGGTGCTCCAGTTTCCCGCTGGCCTCCACTCCATTTGCCTCTCCAGCACTGAAGCAGTGTCAGTCCTTTTATCAGCATGGACTGTTTCTCTAAACTCACCCTTCTAGCAAGTGTAATCAAACAAAAATAAGTAGAGAGATATTTTTTTTTTTCTTAATTGATTTTGCCTGTTTAGCAGCCTGGCTGTGGAAATGCTCTCTGTTCACAACAGCTTTTAATTTTGCTTAGTAACTCTGTTGTACCTGTTGTTAAATAGTTTGGGCCGGGTGTGCTGGCTTACACCTGTGATCCCAGCACTTTGGGAGGCCGAGGTGCATGTATTGCTTAAGTCCAAAGTTTGAGACCAGCCTGGCCAACATGGCAAAAACCTGTCTCTACAAAAATACCAGGCATGGTGGCACACACCTGTAATCCTATTCATGGAGGCTGAGGCACGAGAATTACTTGAACCTGGGAGGTGGAGGTTGCAGTGAGCCAAGATCCCACTACTGTACTCCAGCCTGGGTGACAGAGTGAGACTCTGTCTCCAAAAAAAAAAAAAGCTTGAACACAACCCAGCTGTAGGTATTTGATATTTGAGTTTGCAACATGTGGTAAAATCATTTATTGGGCCTAAGTGGCTCATGTAGAGGATACCTTACCTATCTTATCAGCTGGGTATTCATCGTATCCATGGGATGACTGCTTAGGCAAATCAAGACTCTTCTCAATACAAAAACCAGAGAGACATTTTCCCCTGGGAGTCTTCATAGAGAGGTAATGATAAGTTCAAATGACATTCATACCCAGAGTCAATTCAAGTCTAAGGCTGATGATTCTAGCAGCTTCAAGCAGCATTTCTCTTGAAACACAGCTGCTTAAACAATTCTAGGAGGGGCCAATGTGATATAGTTCAGGCACCTAATTTTCTACTGATCTGGCTATATTAATTTTAGAAACTTTGAAAAATTTGGAGAAATGCCTGGATTCCCCCGCAAATAATCCCCCATAGGTGGTCTAAGGGTATGATGCCTGGAATTGCAGCAGTCGTCTCGTGATTGAGGGGACAAGTCAGAGATGAGAGCTGACACACAGAAGATAGGGAAGAAGAAAGGCCCTTGATGGCATTGACAAAACACTGAAACAACTAGCCTTTATAATAAGAGATAGAGAATTACCTTATTAAGCTTGAACTACTTTTTATTTGCTTATTCTGTTACTTGCTAATATGGTTTGGATCTGTGTCCCCACCAAATCTCATGTCAAATTGTAATCCCCAGGCTTAGTGGCTCATGCCTGTAATCCCAGCACTTTGGGAGGCTGAGGCACGTGGATGACCTGAGGTCAGGAGTTCAAGATCAGCCTGGCCAACAAGGCCAAAATGGCAAAACCCCGTCTCTACTAAAACACAAGAAGGCTGGGTACAGTGGCTCACGCCTGTAATCCCAGCACTTTGGGAGGCTGAGGCAGATGGATCTTGAGGTCAGGAGTTCAAGACCAGCCTGGCCAGGATAGTGAACCCCTGTATCTACTAAAATGTAAAAATATTAGCCAGGCATGGTGGCACACACCTATAATTCCAGCTACCTGGGAGGCTGAGGCAGAGAATTGCTTGAACTTGGGAGGCAGAGGTTGCAGTGAGTCGAGATCACCCCACTGCACACCAGCCTGGGCAACAAAGTGAGACTCTGTCTCAAAAACATACACACACACACACACACACACACACACACAATTAGCCAGATGTGGTGGTACACATCTGTAGTCCTAGCTACTTGGGAGGCTAAGGCAGGAGAGTTGCTTGAACCCAGGAAGCAGAGGTTGCAGTGAGTCAAGACTCTGCCACTGCACTCCAGCATGAGGAACGGAGCAGACTCCATCTGGGGTGGGGGCTGAGGAAGAAATTTAATTCCCAGTGTTGGACCTGGGGCCTGGTGGGAGGTGATTGGATTATGGAGGTGGAGTTCTCATGAATGGGTTAGCACCATCCCCTCAGTGCTGTTCTCATGATAGTGAGTAAGTGAGCTAGTGTGAGATCTGGTGTTTGAAAGTGTGTGGCACCTCCCGCCTTTCTCTCTTCCTCCTGCTCCAGCCATGTAAGATGTACCTGCTTCCCCTTTGCCCTCTGCCATGATTGAAAGTTTTCTGAGGCTTCCCCAGAAGGCCCCAAGCAGATGCTGCCATACTTCCTGTACAGCCTGTGGAACTGTGAGCCCTTTAAATCTCTTCTTTATAAATTACCTAGTCTCAGGTTTTGTATTGTTTTGTTTGAGATGGAGTTCACTCTTCACTCTTATCACCCAGGCTGGAGTTCAGCGGCGGGATCTTGGCTCACTGCAACCTCTGCCTCCTGGGTTCAAAATTCTCCTCCCTCAGCCTCCTGAGTAGCTGGGATAACAGGTGCCTGCCACCACATCCAGCTAATTTTTGTACTTTTAGTAGAGAAGGGGTTTTGCCATTTTGGCTGGGCTGGTCTTGAGCACCTGACCTCACATAATCTGCCTGCCTTGGCCTCTCAAAGTGCTGGGATTACA